CTAGCCTACATGAGCGATGTTATTGTAAAAGGTACTTAAGCTGTTAAGGTCCCTTTTGCTCTCGAGTCTCTACGCTAGGCACCACTGGTCGCGGGCGTGTTCTTTAGGGCCTTTTTGCTTTGACAACACTCATATATATATATATATATGCAATAAAAAGTAGAAATCCTAGTTACAAGTTGCGTGGCTTTTTCTTCATTTATTCTATTTATAAATAAAATATACTATATTTTTAAAAAGGTAATTGTAACAAAGACACAACAGTCTAAATTTTGTTTTACAACTACATTGACCTCACTCCACTTTTTGCTTTGATTCAGTAGTACCACTTCATAATTTTCTATACAGTCTACCTCGCACATTAGCAATAACAAGAAAGAAAAAGACACTTCAATCATCTGTACTTTTACTACAAAATATAATTTTATTGTCAATAACAAGTAACTAATAAATATCTACAGTGCCAACAATGTGTTCACGTAACAAAATCTAAGTAGTTATTACTTACTTTTTAAAACTAGGAAAGTTCTAATGAGACATTGATTCTTTTGTATTTCGCATTTTCTTAACTGTTCTGGTCGAGGGATAGTGCCTAAATAGACACTAAATAAGTAGTAACTATTTAGGTTCACGGACAAAATTGTTAGCATTTTAATGTTATTGAGTGATTTTCATCTGCCTGTGAAATAGTCACTACTACTTACTGGTGTCTAATAGTCATATTCCAATAAAAGAAAACACTGAGTATTTTTTGAGTCTAGTGTCTACAAGTATCAATAAAGTAAACTTCCAAATGGAATATTATGTCTACATTATTATTATTATTATTATAAGCTTAGTAACTATTTCACAGCAGGATATAAATTACTCTTACACAATTATAAATGATTTATTTGAAAATATAAATATTATTTTTACAGTATTTCATTCTCATACAGTTTGTATGTCTTGCTTCATCATACTGCTTTATCAAAATATATAATTACAGATTCTACATTATATTACAAGCCTCAAATGATTTTGTACAATTATGAACTCAAAATAGGAATTGCTTTCATTCACCCATGAAATTACAAAATAATGCAATACATAGTATTTCATGTTTTCAAAAGCAAGCAAATTTGCTGATTGAGTGTAAGTAATATAAGGTCTATTTCGTGGATGTATGTAAACTATTCTATATCGCACATTTCAAGCAACATGTATATTTTCTAATAATCTCTGTCAGACTCTACTAATTTGCTCAACCTAGTAAGTGCATGTGCAACTCGTGGATATGCTAACTCTAAGGAGATGTGCTTGTCATAATACTGTTCCAGCTTTGGGATGATGGTTGAAAGAAAGTGATCAGATTTCTTAACATGCAAAATAATCAAATCATTAATATCACTTAACACAAGATCACTCCAACTACATACTGAACAAAACATTTGGAGCTGAATTTCATAATAGAACTTGTGGTTGGTATTTATAATTAAACCATTGCAACTTTCCTTGCAAATGCCTCTCTTGCATACAGCTTTGCGTAGAGATAACCCATTTGAGAAGATCCTCTTGATTTCGACTAATCCCCCATGTACTTCCCCATCAGGGGACGCTCCAAGGAATGGTTTTCCTCTAGATATCACAAAGCCTGTGTCACTGACTTAACAGCTAAATTTGTTCTCGTACAGTTTCACAATCTTCTTTTCATCTTGAATTCCTTGCCTCATCATACTACTTTGATACTGACCATTATAGTTCAATATTTCCCTCGTGGCTTTCGTTGGCCTCGTACAAGGCTTTAGAATAGCTCGTTTACACTTAGAGGCAGTTATACGAACACATCTATGTTCATACCATTCTTGACAGTTACTCTGAGCTTTTGTAGCCCTTGAAATTTTCTCTCGTTCTTGGTCAGTTACTGCAAGATTGTCTCTCACCCTTGACGCTCTGTCTAGAATTTCATCCAATGATGGTGGATGTACCTTGATGGGGGGAATTATCTCATGCTCCTTGTGGTAGGGATTTTTGTCTGAGAGAAGATAGAAGAAAGCACAGTTGGGTTTGACCTCATTTATTTTGTCTAACAGTTCCTTGTTCACTTGATCAGTGTTATTGTTTCTGAACCGCTCAGGCCTGGGATCAGTCAATGGTTTTGTGGCATTTCTTTCCTCTCTTCGGTAGATCTTTTTAGAAAAGTCTATGTCACACACTGACCTGGGATCTAGTTTTCGTTTGCGTGGTTGATTCCATGTCTGTAATCGTGAAGTACAGGATACAAATTCATTTGCAGATTTCATCCTGCAAAATCCCTCTAGTGCATAACAGAATGCAGCTATATGTTTGCAAGAACCTTTTGGTGGCAATCCTGCTGGGCAAATGCAGCCTGCATATAAAATCTCGCCCTCATTTTCTCCAGTCTTTGTCAGAGAAAGTTTCAATTTATAGATCTGAGTTTTTCCCATCTCGGGTAAACAATCACACCTGAAGTGCACGTGGTCTTGGTCGTCGTTTGTCAGCTCAATCTTCTGTATGTGTCCAACTTTGATCAAGCCAAACGCACTATTCGACAGGTTTTTAAAGTCATTGTTTGGATCCTTGTCTTCCGCTTTTCTTTCCACAAAATAAGTTAGGGCATTCCTTATACTGAACGATGGCACACTGTCTACAGCCTCTCGCACAGATATCCAGTTAGCAGCACCAGGGAAGTCTCTTCCACGTGCGGTTTGTTTACTTGACGACGTCGATTGCTGTTGATCAGGCGTAGGTTGTCGCCACTTGTAAACAAAGTCATTCTCCCAGCCGTTTTTTTATGTAGCCAACAACTCTATAAAGAAAACAAAAGTTTATTTAATAATCAACGCTTCATAAATCATTAAAAAGAAAGGTTAAATGACACAAAACTTTGACTTTCAGTACCTTAGAATGAGCTCATTCTTCGTAGCGTCAGATCGAGCGCTTCCGTCTTTACACTCCCGTTTTCTAAAGGATAGCCACTCTTTCAGACTGGCTTTCGTGATACTGCGAGGGCAATTACCACTAAGTAGTTGCACTTTCTTATTGGCCGAAAAAAACGCGTTTTGTAGAAGATTATTAGAAGAGTTTTCGCTTGTCATGATTAAGCTCCGTACATTGTTTGGAACATTGTTCGATACTCGACCCGATAGCCTCGTTTTGATGCTATTCTCACAAAAATACCGCTGGATGTCGGGATTTCGTGCTCAACTACGATAAGAGCTATTACGGGTTGGGAAAAGCGTATACACCTCTTAGTGCTAATTTTAGATTTCCCGCCATTTCCCGCTTGCGCTCGTTGATATGCCGAGTTGTGAGGATGTCAAGGATCTCAAAGCTAGCCTTGTTCTTAGAGGGAATTTTATATTTGAAGAAGTGAATGAATGTTCACTTTTACAACTATTTTGCAATAGATAAGGTTGAAAAGAATTTATCACACTGGTTACCACATTTGTATACGAATCGAGTTTTGGAAGTATAAAAGTTCTAGTGACGTTACTGCGTAAAGGTATGCATCAGTATAACGCGGTTCACTAAACTGTGCAATGTTGATTGTACGTGACATGTTACTTATGGGCTTCCTGTGGAACCAAATACGTAAAATGTAGCCTCACTATTTTTTTTTTTTTTTTACATTTCAAATATTATTTGAAGGGGTACATCTGATAATTGATTTTGTTCTTGGTCTAAACACTTCCCCCTCGTGGCTAATAAAAGCAAAAAGCCCCTAAGCAATCAAATTCCTGTCAGCAGCAGTCGTTGGTGACAATTTCAGGTTAATCACTACCATGACAACAGTAATAAACTTATGAAAGTTTTGGGTCAAAACTGAATATATGTTCCTTTCATTTTCTATCTTTCATTTTCATTATCTACCTTGTTGTTGTTTTTTTTTTCAGATTAATTAACAAGGTAAAATTTATAAATGATATCAATTCCAGCTTAATTCCATTACAATGACAATCTATAATTACTTGAAATTACAATTGAATTCCTCTCAATATCCCCCCTAAAAAGGTATCTGACAAGTGGTCAATAGTGGCTTTTGCTTTAAAAAGGGACATGGACCACCAACATCCCTTTTGAGCTTTTGCTCATGTTTGAAAATAAAAATACATTGTAGAGCAAAAACGTACTTTATTATTCCTTGGTGATATATGAATGGAGATATTGAGAATGGATATTCGAAGTAACCTCATTTTCCATATTGATTTTTGTCATGAAAATGAATGCTGATAAAAGTTACTCATAGTCACAGGCAGACCATAACTACTTTGATTCTGAAAACTATACTCAGCAAAAACTTGTATAGTGGGCATTCTCATTGTTTTAACTGGTTAAAACCAGTGTTTCTAGTTTATGGTTCAATCGTTACCTTGATTAAGGTCCTTATGGTGTTAGTAATATGTATAAATGAAAACACAGCATCTTCAAACATTGACCCACCACCAGCTGTTTCATGTATGTTATCAAAAATTACATCAAATGAAGGATTGTCTCCCATGATTATCCTCTCTCTTCTTTGGATTTCTTCATAATTATCCATCAGTGGATCTAGGGCAATGCAACATTCACAAGTTATTTAATTGTCCACCTGCATTTTCATAGAAGGTCATTGCTTATTCAACAGTTGGAACTAGGGTTGGGTTGATCCTCTGTTGTGAATTATTCATTGCCAAGAGATTTGGAATCTTTTGGTTGCTGCCTTAAAATATAAAAATTAAAGGAAATGTTTGATTTATGTTTACAGTAACACATAAAAGAGCAATCACTGCATGCTGTGATATGGTGTGAAATCACATGCAAATTTATAACATTTATTCAGTGTTTTACTTAAAATTTGGCAAAAAAGAAGCCTTAAAGGGACACTGTCAATGGCACACATGCGCGAGTAAACTTGAAAATTAAGATTAGGCTAATGTTTTCAAGTTTACGACTCCAAGTTTGCGCCACGCATGACAAAAATTACTTGTAAACGTAAACAGATCTAGAATATTTCAAAGTGTGTCAAAACATTGATTTACCTCGAAGGTAATACTTTCAAAGTCCTTTAGAGGCAAGACTGTTACTGCACATGTCATCCATTGACAGTGTCCCTTTGAATGATGCCATAAATGAAAGAAGCCTAAAATGATGCAATTTTTATACACATTCAAAATTTAACAAAGGGCTACATGAGTCCTTTGAAAATTATCTTTGAAACTTTTGTTATTTAAGGGACCTGTTACGTTTTCTCAAGTATATAAACAGTATATAAACAAGGAGAAATAACAAGAGACCAAATCWAATATGGCGGATCCGAGTCGTCTTTATTTACCCACGTGTTACACAGGTAATCCAAAACATAAGAACATTACAACTCCTCCCCTTTTAAAAATACAATGGGGATTTCATGATCCGACACAAAATCAGTTCATAACAAAGTCACTAAATCTGGAGGGGGTCCTGCTGACCCTTCCTGAACGTGTGATAACTTCTGCTTGTTCTTGAGATAAGGGTGTCCGCTCAGCTGGTGTCGACTCATCCGTCTTGACAGTAGATGTTCCACGGCTCTCTGCCATGTCTGGAACTACAACAGGAGTATGATCGCTCACTGGCGCCACCTCTTGGTCTGTAACCTCAGGGCTTTCACCATGTGGTGACTGGACAGTAGGGTCACTACGCAGCTGTTCCAAATGCCTTCTCCAAACCTTGTCATCAGTTTTGACACGGTAAAGCACTGGACCCGTCTGCTCGACGACAGTCCCACGAACCCACTTTGGTCCAGTTCGGTAGTTCCTGATCCATACTTGTTCACCTTCGTTGAAACTTGACATAGACCTGTTTTCATTCGTCAGAAGCTTGCCATCTACTTGTCTCTTGACATTTGGCTTGATGAGATCCAATCGAGTCTTCAGGTTTCGTTGAAACAGCAACTGCGCAGGGCTGATTCCGGTTGTAGAGTGCGGGGCAGCACGGTATGACAGCAAGAAGCGGTCAATCTTGTGTTGTACACTCCTGTTGGACTTGTCAGCTTTCACACCATGTTTGAAGCTTTGGACTAGTCTTTCAGCTAAGCCGTTCGTGGAAGGGTGATACGGTGCACCAGTTATGTGTCTGATACCGTTAACTTTTGTGAAATGCTTGAACACCTCTGCGGTGAATTGTGGTCCGTTGTCCGAAACGATTTGTTCCGGCAGACCCATCCTGGCGAATATGGAACGCAAAGCCTCCACGGTTCCTTCAGCAGTAATGTCTTTCATCACTATAATTTCAGGCCACTTAGTATGAGCGTCAACACAGACAAGCATCATTTTGCCTTGGAAGGGCCCGGCAAAGTCCACATGTAGTCTTTGCCATGGTTCTGAAGGAAATTCCCATCGGTGCAGCGGTGCTGAAGGTGGGTTTCTAGCAAGTTCCTGGCAACCTTCACATTCTCTTGCCGTGCATTCAATATCTTTGTCGAGATTTGGCCACCAGACGTATGCTCGAGCCAGACCTTTCATCTTCACTACACCAAGGTGG